TTTTATCCTGGTCTGAAAAGCACAACAGCTCTTGATGACAGGAAATGGCCGGGTATGGTGTTTCCTTTCTCCACTTCTGCTGAAGGAGTGATTTGCAATGTGGCAAAGAGATTTCTACCCTGCCAGGGGCGCCCTGGGAAGTCGAGCTTAGCTGTTATTTCTGCGAGTAGCCTTTTTCAAAAGCACAGATTTTCAGGCCTAGTTGCTCTTGACCTGGAAAGGAAGCTGGGGGGGAAGTCATGCAGAACACATGTTCTTCGGCATCGGCAATAGATGAGGGAGGATCTGATTTTAGCTTCAGGGAACAAAGCTGCCAGCATGTTGCACACAGGCTGAATGAAAAGTGTTGGACCGAGGCATTTTTCAGAGTTGAGCTGTACTGCAGTCTGACTATGATTGAGGATGTTCACTGTCATTTTATCATTGTGATTTGGTAAGTATTCATATTGGTGATGATGTTTTGTATACTGCTGCAAAAGCCAAATCAAAAGTTTCTTAAATCAGCTGAAAAATTCTCATGGATTTCAGACACTTTTATATGGCAGCCTCTCTGAGTCATTTGTACAGGCCGAGGTTGGGAACTTTTCTAAAGAGCTCAGATATTTTATTTTATTATTTGTTTATTGTACTTTTGTTATGTCTACATAACTGACATTATTCAATTAGAATAAAATATTCTTGAAGTACGATTCCACAGGGTATCCACACCTTGGAATATCTGTTTTTCCTGTGTAATAGTAATTCAAAACAGCCAATGGTTTTGTCCAAATTACTTCACATCCTTCTTTGAATTGTCTCTGTCTTCTTAAAATTTGCTCTAAAACAGGGCCTTGAACATGAATTCAAAATAGAAAAAATCTCCCAAGTAGCCTTACTATCCATCCCCTTTCATAGGTAGATGATGTCTTTTTCTCTTTTTTCCTCTTGTTTTTCTTTTCTGCCTTACTGACAGGGGAAGAAAGGAGGTGCATTGTATCAAAATTAACTGGAACTTTCTCTACATTAAGAGCTTAAACAGCACCAGCATCTAAGAATGCTGCCCTAAATTCCAAGCAGATAGACTATAACTAAGGTTGCAGTATAGAGCCAGTAGAGAATGCTAAAAAGAGAGACCTAAAGCAGTAATATGAAAATGAATTGGATTTAAGGGATAATAACCCTTTTAAGAACCCTTGTACCTTCTCTATTCTCAGTCCAAGATCTAAAAAACCTAATTCCTTTCTTACTGCTTGAGAACAATTTGTTATTTGACTATAGTTACACTGTTTTTATCCTGCCACCCGCCAAGGGCAGCAGTTACCCACCAAACATGCAAAAGAAAGATTGATAGCAGGACTATTGTTCGCTACTGTGTGGGAGACTTCTATAAGGAGCGGCACTGAAACTCTGTCAGGAGCCCTGATCAAAGCAACGTCTGCACTTTGTGGGAATGGCCCGATCTGGCTTGGGCCTGATGAGGCCTCTCGTGCTCAGTAAGTTTCTGTTTGCGGGATTTCTGGGGATTCTTCCCACGCTGGGTGCATTCAGTTTACCTGCAGTAGAGAGCTCAGCTCAAATGGATTGCAGGAGATTTATGGAAGTGGTGGAATGTCCAAGGAAGTACTGTTTTTCCTCAGCACTAGGTCTAATTCTCAAGCAAACTGCACTCTCCCACAGAGTAGGATCTGTATACTTTCATAAATTTTGACATCAGGAAGAAGTAGTATATCATATTCTCTGACCTCCCATATAGCACTGGAAATAGGCTCAATAAAGGGATTCCTCTCTAAAATTGTATTCACTTATTTCTTTTGAGGTTGGAGTTAGTTATGCTGTAGAAGGCTGAAATTGCTCACATGTGACTCTACCCCCCACTAGATATGAGTTTTTCTCATGAACTGGAAGGATAATATAGGGTGGTCGTAACTTAACCACATGGCTTCTTTGTCCACATAGCAGATTCACTCATTTCATGAAGTAGAAAGAAAACCTGAAACTAAATAACATCATAAAATTACATCAGAATAAAAAATAACTTTCCAAAAAGGTATACTTTCATTTTATCTGTCCCTACTTTCAAACATTTACCGACCTTGTTCTGATTTTCATCATTCTTTTATTTTTTTTAAACATACATAAAATGCAAAACATAACTTGGAAGTCTCTTTTACCCATGAAATGCAAAATGCTTTTCATTTTTTTCTACATAGACCTGTGCTAAAAAAAAAAAAAACACATTGAAATCTTTAGGAGGACTTTAATCTTCTTAGGCTTTCTAAAAAGAACTAGAATGGGAACATAAGTATCATTTCTCACCTGTGTCTCAATGCTGATCTACCAGAACTTGCACTGGTCTTTGGGGTCTGTAATGCTACTCCCTCTGCCCTCTCTTTGGGTGTCTAGAAGTCCCAAGGCTAATTTCAGTTTTCATTTACTAGGAAGAAAGGAAAAGGAGGTATAATATCTAGATGTAACATCTGTGCTGTATCTCTTGCAACTCAGCCTGGAGTCTAAGAGGTGAAGTGTAAGTTCTGTATCTCTTCAGAGACCTACTGCAAGCTCTTGTTTTAATCACATGGTGATGAAGTTCTTTCTAATGTAATACTCTTCATCTCATAGGAAACGTCCTATGCCCCTAGGCAGCTATAAAATGAGAAACTGGCATTTGCATAGCAAGCCCCATTATATGTTATTGACCTTGGTAATACTACAAGAGTCATTTTCACACAAAGCATTTTTAATGGAGTATCTATAATGCATTAGCCACTGATACTCTTGCCTTACATCAAGCATTCAGATCCTTATGTCCATTTTCCTTTCCGCTGTACTTGAGTTACAGTCAAATTACAGGGAAAAGTTCTACTCTTCTTACTGTACTGTTTCATCTCTGACCCTTTTGCATTCCTCTCTTTCATTTTGGAGAAGTCCTGTATCAGTGTAAGGCTTTCATACAATGCACATCAGTTCAGACACTGCAGATCCTAAGAAGCTAAGGGGAGTTGGTGTCCTTATGTTGCATGGAAAAGCACCTCAGTAATGGTAAATACCTTAGTATTGCAATTGTTATACCTCAATATTACAATTCTTCAACCTTTTTGTACAAGCAGGGTTTTGAGATTGATTAACGTTCACTTTGACATGACACAGTAGAGAACATGCTCTTGTTCATCTCTCCAGAGTGAGTTAACATTGATGATAGCATGGCTGAGTTTACTAAATACAGGAGATAGCCGTACTTATACAGCTTTAAGAGACTTACATCTAATCTATTTCAATAACTTGTTAGTTTTTAAGGATGGTTAATGAGCAAATGTTGCAGAAGGACCTGTGCACATTGAGCATGACTAGTGACATGGCTGTTTTTGGCAGAACTTGATAAAATTGTTCTCCATAACTTTAAAAATTGCAGTTAAAAATAAATGAGGGGAAATTATAATTTTTATAATTCAGTGTGTCTGCATGACCTGCTGGCTTTAGTGAGGAGTGAAGATAAGCTTTCCTTTGCTTTGGCCTCTGCTAAGGAGAGCACTGAGTAATCTAGTGTTTGTCTTGCAAGAAAAGGTACTCAGGAGGCACAGTTCTTTTCCTGGCTCTGTCACGAATTCTGGCAGATTCCTTGCATATGAGATATGTCTTCTTTGGGGAGGCAAAATAAAGTAAGATCAGGACCCAGAGAATGAGTGGGCACTTTCGAAAATTTTGATGTGAACATGATAATTTCTGCGTGTCTGAATTGGGATATTTGAAGTATTTCACAGGATTCCTGGAGGGCTTTCAAATCCTGGAGGATTTGTAAAGTGCTTTAGAGATATTAGCATGATACATTGCATTGCAACACAAAGAACAAAATCTTTACTTGAGACCACACCTCTGGAGCATTCCTACATTTTGTGGCAGTCCCATATGACGGCAATCCATTAAGAGATCTGATTTCCCCAGCTGTTACCCCATTACTCTCTCCCCATGGAAATTTTATCTGTATGAAAAATAATTTGTTTATTTCTCTCAGATGTCTCCAGAACATGTCAGAGTTGTTTTATGGGCTCTTCATTGGCATATGCACTGCATGATATTTGGGCCCAGAGCTCTATTTACAAGGTGGCTTATAGAATCAGGAATATGTGAAGGGCTAGATTATTCAGTGGAGATCATAGCTCTGTTCATCTTATCATAAAAATACAATGACAATGAATTCTGCCTGCAAATTTTACAGATTACTGTGAATTCGTCAAACATAGTTAGTAAGGTAGAAATCATTAAGAAAAAGAAAAAAATCATGTTTTGTTAATCTGTATCTGAAAGGAAACCCTTTTTCTTCCCTTTGTTTACCAATAATATGCAATGTTGATAAATAACTCCTGTCACAGGCTACCATCAAACCTGTTTGACCTACTGTGACTCCCCTTTGCACTTGGCGATTGAATGTAGTACATACAGCATGTAATTAATGAAATGTTTTTTTGTTCATCCTTTCAGTTAATTCTGTGTGTTCTTTTTTCCCCCCTTACCCCTTTTGTGCTGCACGGCTGATTACCACCCTAGGACCTTGCAATGGGACACAGACCCCTCAGTGCTGCAGCTCCAGTCTGACTCTGAACTTGGGTATATGTCAGCTCTTTTGTTACTCATTTATCATTTATTTGCAAGAATTATGTTGAAAATGCTTCCCAGTTGAGCTGTTTTTATGTGATTTTCTTTTGCTTTGTTCACTCAAAAAGACCATAATTTAAGTTTCTATTTTTAGTAGCATCAATGAGAAGCTTCAGCAAAGCCATATTTGTGGAAAAAAAAACAAACTATTTTAAAAAAGCTCATGAAAAGATAAGCTGCTATTTATATTGCCTGAAAAAAAAATACAAATAACGATTTCATTACAGATGAAATGTTATTATTGTTGCACTTTAATGCGCATGTATAGTTTCACTGGTCTTGTTTGTACCTGTTGATTCAGACTTTTCTTTCTGAATCATTTGCAAGGTACTTCTTACCCTCCCTTCTGTCTTTGCCGTAGTTATGTTGTTTCCACCTGCAATAACAATTACCTCTGTTTCCTTAGGATCCTATGAAGGATTTCCTTTATATATGCTTACAGTTGTGCTTTTAAATATAATATAGTCTAAGGGTTGTATTTTCAGTTAAGTTCAGATTAGTCAATAAGTATTTTCTCCTTGGGATGGAGCTTCTTTATCCAACACATTTGAAAAAAACAGTTGCTGTAGATAACAGAACCTAGCTGGTGCAATTAGCCAGCTGCACCTAATGCCTTTAAAATTGTATAAAAAGGATCAAAAGTGTTCTTTGCAAATGCGGAATAGTATCAAGAAAAGTCTGAGAGTATGAACAGCTTATCTACTGTGGGCAAAATTAAATCTTTGAGCTGCTGAAGTTACTCTCCCTGTGAGCTAAGAGGCTGGCCTCTCTGGATCACCAGAAAAATATGCTTCTGCTATTCCTTGGTGTTTTCTCTCTGGCAATTCCTGTGAAATTCAGCATGCTGTTGGCTGTAAGAAAAACTGCAGTTTCCCTTAATTATTGATTGACAGTACCCCAGAGAGAGTCGCTGGCATCAGAGCTATTAAATGTGAAAGAAGATCAAAAAGAGTGAAAACCATCCACGGAGCATATTAAAAAGTTTCTCTGTTAGGAATGTTTGAGGAATGTTTGTAATTTCTACTTGAATGTATCTTCAAATACACGAATTTTCTCCTTTACTTCAATAATACCAAAATGGCAGAGTTTAGCAAGCTTTTTTTAATATAGAAGCCTTTTACCTGCTTTTTCCCAGAAGTTGAAATTGAAAGATGAATGCTGCCAGAAACAATGTTCCTCAAATGGCTATGCAAGGCAAGGTGATTTGTTTGACTCATGTAAAGATAAAACTGTGTATACCCACAAGACTTTTATGTCTTTTATGAACAGTCAGTGCAGAGACAGAAGAGAAGAATGCCAAAAAGATTGAATCTGCACGTTGCTGCATGTACTCCATAATCTGAATCCTGTCATCTTTGAAAGAAGACAGGCTTGGAAACCAAGGCGAGGAAGGATCAGACTTATGACTGGCGACATGAGAATAAATAAAAAATGTACCAATATAAAAGAAATTCTGCAGTCAGTATGTGAACGGTCTGTAGCTTAAAACTTCTAGCAGACCCTGGTCAAGAAGCTGGTTCAGTGAAAAGTTTTTTTCTGTCTTTTGCAGCCTGGGATAGCAGAGGGCTGACTGCATTAGAAAAGATTAGTTGACCAAGTAGGCGATGGTTTGAAATCTGCTGGTGGAGAAGGAAAAACTGCATGTGATTTTCCTGGGTGTTATTTCTTAAAGCTTGAGTTCACACCAACCCTCACTTAAAGTGGCTATGGAAAAGTAACACGGTACTAAGACTTTTACTAGCTCTTAACAGTTTCTTAAAGTGTCACAAGTGCAAAAGTTTTTATTCCCTCATGCAAGATTTTCAGACAATCATTGCTTTTGTTCTTATTGGCAGTGTCACAGACTGGTGTAAGGAGGGACAGCTTGTTTTTTTTTTTTTTTTTCAAAAGAAGTAAGACTCAAAGCTGTAAAACTGTTATTGCTATAGTGATTTGCTACATGATGTGGCTGATTCGTACTGATTACCTGCTGAATCTAATTGCATTCAGCTTAATAACACTCAGCCGGGAAAATAGATTAGAAAAATATATAGCTGATATAGCATTAACCATCTGAAGAGTTCAGTAGGTGTCATCCAATGATGCCAATTTCCTTTTGAGACTCTCATTTCCTTTCAGACGTCAGTCTTAATTGAATACCTAAACCACTATAAAAGATAAAAAGCCTTTGACCTCTGTTCTTCTGGAAATCTGGAAGAGAAAAAGGATATGGATAGTGTATTTGAATTTGCTGCCTTTCCAAATTGGTTTCTGTAATAGCATCGTAGTTCAGAAACATTATATTCATGAATCTATTTCTGAAAAATGTATAAGCATGCTTATGTGTGTTGATTTCAACAGCTAGATTTATTTCTCTGTTCCATTTATTATTTGCTCATTTGTTTCTCTCATAAAAGCTAGCATTTTTTTCCGGTACAATATTTGCAAGGAAACATTTGTTTTTATTCCATCTCTACAGATAATCAAATAATATTCAGGAAACAACTTGATTTTTCCCTAATTGTTGAGCAAACTGTGTATGACTTGAAGGGTTCATGATCACAATATTCTTTGGCTTTACTGATTTGTTTCATGTATTTCTTACTGAAAGCTAGGAAAGCAGTAGAAAAGACTACCCTTGCCCTGCTCCAGCTCTGTCCCTTATGCTGCCCTGCAACCACTGCATTAACACACCAGTAGTCATGAACCTACAGCAGTTGCATTGCTAATGATCCACTTGAAAGGGAGAATCTCCTCCTTTATGGAACTACCCACCTTGCCATTTAAAGGCTGGGTCATTGCTCTCAGATGGACATCTGAGAGATACTAATTTGCTCTCATTTCTAATCCAGCCTATCTTCTTGAATGCCCACTACATGCTTTCACTATGTGTGTCTCAGACTGAGGATTAACTCTCTTGAGCAGGCAAAACATTGCAATAATACAGGTATGATACAGAAGACTGTATTTTTGCATAGATATGAAACACATTTCTGAAGGGCATATGAAGATCATTTCTCTCTCCTATTTACAGTCTTGTTCAGCTACCTGATCTAGGTCCAGAGAGGTTGAGTAACGATAATTTATTATGGCAAATTGTTGCCGGGGTAATTTTCCTCAGTGCAATTAGATGCTTCTCATACATAGTGTATTTTGTTTCATTTTGAAAAACATTTAAGTATTTTTCTCTATCCTGTTCATAAAAACTATTGCTTTTCTTTCTACTGCTGCTTTGTACTTACATGACTAACCTTTTGTTGTCATGTATTCAATCTATCTTAGACGCAGACTGCACAAACTAGGGGTGTCAAAGATTACCCAGGTTGATTTCTTACCTCGGGAGGTGGTGTCCTACTCCAAGGAGACCCAGACACCTCTTGCTACACACCAGTCTGAAGGTAAGATACTTACTTTTTTTTTTTCCCCCCGCAAAGAATTCTCATAGAAAATAAGTCTTTGGGTGAGACTTAAGGAATGTAAGAAAAATAATATTAAATCATAATATAACTGCTAATCACATTTTCTGCAAGTCAGGTATTGTTTATGTGATTAATAGCTGTTCTGGTGAGAATAATTACAGTAATGGCTTTAAATTCAGGTGGAACCAAACTGCTGCCTTGAAATGGATTGTGCTTAGATAACAATATAATGAGAACATATTTTCAAATAAATCATTATGAATATAATTATCCAACTGTTACTTAAACTACATGATTGCCAGTGCTGTACTGGAGAAATTGATTGTAGAAACTGAAACCAGTTAAACTGAATGCAAAACTACATATTAGCCTGGTATAATTGACACGTTATTCGAAAGCAGGCAACAGAGGAAAACTGAAAACAATATTGGAAAGATACGTTCTGAAAAAAAAAGAGCAGCATCTGAGGCATGACTGTAATTGTTACTGTTAAGGGTGAAGATAATGTAGAACTTTACCAGGTTCCATATAAAAGAATATTTAAATAAGTTGCAAAAGGTATAGGAGTAAGTCTGCTTTAATATAAGTTACTGCCAGGGGAGATACAGTAGTAAACATACCTAGCTCTTTTTCTACAACTACATTAGCATTTCTGCCTTTAAAAGATTAGGACACCTCTGCTAGTTAGCGCGATCCTGCTTCCCCAGACCACAAGTTTACCTTCTAAGCCTTAGGCACCTGTTGTCTGAAGTTGTGCCTTCTTGCATCACCATCCTGTGTCCTGGATGCAGCTTCCTGAGCAGTGTGCCTTGGCGGCTCTGCCTCTCTGGGAAGAGGCAGAGGAAGAAGCCAGCTCAGGAACCTCCATAGTTGAGTCCAAGTACTCTCTGCTTGTCTGTCTGAGAGCTGCTTGAGCCCGGAAGGAAGGAGGTTTGTTGTGGAGGCCATGCCTTGCTGACTTGACATCGGTAAGTTGACAAGCCTGGAGCATCTTCGTGGTCATTCTTTGAGGAGATGATTCCTCTGTGACACAATGCCCTGATCTAGTACAAAAGCCTGTTGGTACAGGGAATAAAAGTTATGCCTTTGATGTGTTTACCACTCTCAGGCTTGCAACTCTGGTGCTCAATGGCTCACCTGCCTTTCTGAACAAGCCAACATAACTTCTTCCAATAAATTATTTTTAAAACTTCTTTACAAGGAGCTCATCAATTATTACAAAATCCTTTCCCTGTGTGGACAAGAGGACAGCCTTCTATCCCGCAAGGAAAAAGAACCATTGCGTGGTTGTGGAACCTGGCAGCCAGGATGGCAAGCACAGAGGGTAACACGAGTCTGCCTTGATTGCTCAACATAAAGGAAGTCTTGTTCCTCCCACACGTGTTGGGAAATAAGTGCAAATCTAAGGTGTTGGGCCTTAGACTGCTGAGACCAAAGCTGTGATGAAAAAAGTCAGAAGGAAATATGTGCATTTTATGACAGGTTTTACAACCTTTCATTGTCACAGACAGGGAAACAGTGTCAACAAAAGTTTTAATGTTCAAACACAGTGAAAATACCACCCAAATGCTTACCTCAGATGAATGTTAGAGAAAGCTGAAATTATATTTCCTTTCTGATCTGCTGCTAGACTAGTCTCTACATACAAGCGAGACGTGAATATGGCCCTTCCATTAGAAGGGAAGAGTCAGGGAATTTGGTTAGTCCATTGAAATGGCAGTTAATTGGAAACTCTGTAAGGAGGAAATAAGCTCCATGACTTTGATCTCTGAAATGTTTTAAAAAATTAACTTCCCATTTTTTAATCTCTTAAACCTCTTTGTGAATGCTGAGCCCTTCTGCAGGTAGAACAGAACTGTTTTGAGAAGCTTCTATACTGTTCTTATGCATCAGTGTAATAAAGTATAGCCATATCTTTAGAGTTTAACCACTATTATTGCTCATTTTATTCAATCTGAAGCCTCAGAGTTTGAGAAAAGAAAAAAGAAAAGAAACACTTTATTTACATAGGCATGAGTCTAACTTTAGCTTTCAGAATTCTTTAGCTGCATTCCCTGGTTACTAGAAATATCAAAATGCAGAATTTTAGGATGAGCCTGTCAGAGACTTGCTTCTGGATTGGAGAAGTACAACTAATGAAGCTCTACAGCTGGATGGAAAAAAATGCGTGTAAGATTAAATCAAGAGAGGAATTAGTGTTCTTTCAAAGTTCTGAAGCCTTTTGAAATGTTATTATCAGGTTTTGCAGAGTACCTTAGATAAATTGCTGTTTGGAGCTTGAGGGATGTGGGCCCTATCTGTGATAATGGCTGTGCCCCACCACCCTTCATAAAACTAGTAATGGAGAGCCTCACTGTGGTAAGTACAGTGTGGTGCCAGAGAGCCCAGTGCTGTGAACACTGAAGTCTCAGGTAGTCAGCTGCTAATTTTAGAAGACATAGAAGCATTACTCTTCACTGCATCACAACAAATTAACTCTTCTTTTCAGAACATGTATTTCTATTTCAGAGAAATAATGACATGCCATTTCCTCCACCTACTCTATTATTTAGGGAGATGTGTATATGCATCTTTCAGCTCTTTGATCAAAGTACCTAATTCTTTTGCTTTATTTAGGTCACAGTAAGATGTGATTTCAAAAAAAAAAATCCACATCTTGGCTCTGGAACCTTAGTAAAAAATGTGCTTTCTACTTTTCTCCTCCTCCTCCTCTAATTGAACTTGAATTTAGGTATTCACAAGCACTTGAAAGACACTACCCTCGTGCTGCCTTTTCCATTCTGAAGTCAATGAAGACTTAGGCTATGCCAAGGATTTTCTGAAAGATCTCTGGGACATGCTCCTTCTCTATGTGGAGAAGCTCACACTGCCCTATAATAGCAGGCCCTTATAGCCTTTGATGCTGGACCTTCCGAAGTACTGCAACTGCTGCTTTCTTGACGGAGAAAGCAGCAAGGAGAAGGTCATGGCCTGGCCTCTTCCCAGCATGGATCCCTCACTGCGGAGGAAGGATGTCTGTGTGTCTGCACACAAGCTAACTTTACGGATTGGAAACCAGTGTGGTCATTGAAGCCTTACTGGGTGCCTCTGTCAACTCCAGGCCACTGTTCTCCTCCTCTCCAATGGGCCAAGAGGGAACACCTCAGTGAGGGAAGCAGCACACTTCCCTGTGCTGGGAAGAGATCGATCACTATGAGCTAGCTCCCTACAACGCCAGGGGAGAGCAAGAAGGTGGAGGGAGGTTTGTGAGTTCTCTGGCTTTGTCACCCAGTATCAGTAAGGTCATTATTTGTTTGTCATGAGATAGAGACTATTTTCTGGCTGATAAAATCAGCTGTTTCACTTTTCTGGCTTGCCGAACAGTCATTGCAAATAGGAAAGTCTGAAATGCGTTGCTGAAAAAGTAGGTCTTTTGTACAAGGGAAGGAGATCTGAACTTCTAGTAGAGTGGAAGTCCTTTGTATGGATCTGACAGGTTTATCTTCTTTGACAGATGGTTGTCCACAGAAGGAAAAACTAGTGTGTTACCATACTCTTCATGAGCAGGATAACATCTTCCTGCATCACAGATCTTTGCCTGGTTTTGTCAAAGAAAACACTTTAGACCCCTGGTCTGTTTATGCTCAAATACAGAGGACATTTTAGCTTCCGTGGAAAGAAGAAAACTGAGCTGAGTATTCAGTTTGGAAACAGACCAGAACAAAGTGGCAAAACAGAGGTGAAACTTAGAGGCTAATAGCTGGGTTCAGTTCTCATCTCTCCTTGATATTGTAATTCTCTGAATTAATGTTCCTGAAAGTTATATTTGTTAAAGCACTGAGAAAGGGCATTTTGCTCACAGTCTAAGGCTTATAAGACCAAGATACATGAATTCAGGTATTGCTGTATGTTACCAAATGCAGGTGACTACTGCGGGATAACGTGGAACTCTCTTTAGGCTCTATTGACTGCCTTAACCAGCTCTTCAGGAACTGACTTAAGAGCAGAGCACTAGAGGTAGACAAGTAAATGTAGGTTTCTCTTGCTGAGTACTATGTTCCATTGTGAGCTTCGACAGCTGAATGAGGAATTACCTATGACTAAAAGTGACAAACCTGTTGCAGCAAAAAAATGAATCAGGCCTCTGGAAGTCCAAACACTTAAATCTAGAGATAAAATTATTTTTACTTCTGATTTCTAAGAGTTGATGTTCTCAGGTTTAAGCCGTATGAAACTAACTTTGTCTATCCCATAAGACAACATGCACAGCAAACTGTGACTCACATCTGACTGCAGCTCAGCTCTAGCTCTGTGAAGTACTTAGGAAAATGCTGTACTTAGGGAAAGCTGGTCTCAGAACTGAGCTAGATTGAACTTGAGCTTTCCCGTGCCCTGTTTCTCTAGAGCTCTTGGATTAGAAGCTTGTTGTTGAAGAGTTTATTTAGGCTTTCCCTTCCAGTGAATCTCAGAGATCACCATGAAAGGTGTGAGACAAGTTTGGACCCAAGAATGTCTCTGAACCCCTCATTTAATGGGACATATAGATGCACGTTTGTGCATTGTCAAGCATGCAGCATATATGTCAGGATGTGTGAAAACTTTTGATGGAAAAGTTGGGAGAACATTAGACATAATCAGGCTAGGAAAGCAGAGATTCTGGCTTGAAAACAAAAGATGGTATTGGAAAGCAGAGCATAACTGGGGTATATATCATTAGTTAAGAAAAAGCCTCAGCCTAAAGAAGAATCAGTGCTAGTGTATTTTTATACTTACAGAGTCTTAGTAGTAGCACTAATGGACATTAATTTTGTAAGAAAAATATTATGGTCTCTCATAAGCAGTATCATGTATCTGTTGGGTGTTTTTAATTAGCTATAAAAAGCTTGTTTCCCTTTTCTTCTCAAACCTCAGCCCACCAGAATCATCCTGTGGCTCTCAATAGCTGGCATAAACACCCTAATTCAAAACCGCTTTGTTTGATCAAATCAACAAAGCTTTTT